TTAGATTCTATACACTTTTTCCAACGTTTTACAAGAGTTCCTATTCCGTTACAATAAAAATCAGGAGTTCTAGAATTAATAAATTCCACGAAGGTATTGTGGAAGATTTTTTCTCGCAAAAAGTTGTCGAAATGTTTAAAAAAATGGTAATCTGTAGGGGACAAGTCGGGGGAATAAGGAGGGTGTTTTAATGTTTCATAACCCAATTCGTGTATCTTCCGAATCGTGAATTGTGATACGTGCGGGCGGGCGTTATTGTGTAGGAGTATTGGTCCCTTACGATTTACCAAACTTGCTTGTTCAACAAATAACATTTTATGCATTATAATCATTAGTTGTGCTTTCACCGAATACACGATTGATATTGCGGCCAGTTTCCGCGGCTTTACGTCCTAATTTAAATTCATATAAAAATATGGTACGAATTTGCTTCTTGTCCATTGTTACGTTTTTAAGTTATACTCAGAACGAATGACGGTAAAAAACAAAAGTGTATCGCTTATATGGTAGAGCGACGTCTACGTGTTCAAATGGTATGTCACTTAATAAACACAAATTTAAAATATGTAGTATAGAGAAGCCTTAAACAAGACATAACAGAAAACCGCAATTTATTTCCGGACAACCTAATATTTCAATGAAAACAGCAAAATTTGTTTTTTCTTCTTCTTGCAGACCCTTAGAATGAATACAGAAAAGCGTGTAGAAGTCTTTTAATTTAAGTTGGGTGTAAAAATTTCTTTCTTACAATTTCCTCTTTGCGATATGTGAAAACGGACAGATGTTTTATTAAGTCTCACTGCACACTATCGAATTTGAAGCGTTTTTTTTTTTAACAGGGTATGGAATAGTTTGACCACTGTTATAATTTTTTACGTGCTTATTTCTAAAGGAAGTGTTATAATTTCCGTGTTATTGAACATTAATACTGTAAGCTCGTTTAATATGCTACGTCATAAGCAAACCCCTCTGCTTTTTACTCAATTAATTATAGACAAAATTCAACTTTGAAAAAAAGTGATTCATCACTCCCCGATTTACTCTGTACCAAGATTCTACCGGTGTATTTAAAAAGATAAATAAGTATTCTCTCTACGTGAGATAGCCTTTCCTCGTTGAATTGTTCACGTCGTCAAGAATACACCGGACAGGCGAGATTAATTTAAGGAGAACATAGGAGACTATGATTCTTCTTCTTCGTTGTTCGACGTAACGGGATGGGGAAAGCAGAGAAAGGTGGAGAAATTCCTGTCGTAAACGTCGAGCGTGCAAGACGTATAACACTTCTCCGTCTTCTACGGCCTTCCTCTCCCCTTCGTTCTCCCGCTGCTCGCTGAATCATTCGACATTTTTTACCGGCTGCTTCTCACTCCGCGGATATAAAAATTCAATTGCCCCTGGAAAAAAGGAGGATACCCAGCCGCTACCTCACCTATCTAGACAAACCAGAACTTGGCCGACCTCCAACTTGAAGAATACTCGCCGTGGAATCCGGTTTGTCTATTTTTTTCCCGCGACCGATTTCGCGAACTGAGACAGCGTTCTTTATTCCACGAGCTCGCGCGTATATTTACGCGCCAGAAAAAGAAACGTTTCGCCGAAATGACGAATTAGCCGTCACGGATAACAAAGTGGTTTACGAGCGCTTTGCTCGAAAGCTCACAACGGGATACCGCGTGAGCTAGACCTAACAAAAGAGGACCAGCTTGACCATGAAATTCGTCGTTAGCCTACCGAACAATAGGACAATTTTTGTAAACAATTTCCCACTCCAACGTTACAGTAAACACGGCTACATTCGGTCCAACGAAGAGAGTCACAACATTCGCGTGCTAAGCATGTAAGGAACTTTAACTATCGGCCAGCGAACGATAGTTCAGGAGCGGATTTACATTAGGGCTTTCCTCGACTACTCGGGTTGTGTTACAGTATCTGTAGGTTGTGAATACGCTCCTGTCCCAACCTCTATCGAAGTTGTAGAGCAGAGGAACAGCAACCGGAAAACGCTTCAACCACCTCCTACACATCGAACACTGTGATAGCCCACCTAATCTCCAACGTTAGTCACCTTGTTTTTCACTAGTTTTCACCCGAACACTCATCTCCTGTTTTCCGTAACTCCCTCGCCGATTACTCATCCGAACAAACCAGCCTAAACCGTTGCACCCTTAGTCACCAACCCCTCCAGTTCTAGACCGTAAGTTATACAGAGTGTCGTGAAAGAAGCGATACGTTTTTGTTTCGCCGTCATTTGTTTTCTGTCGAGGTTATGTCAGTAATCAGTTAACAGAGTAGACCATACAATTTTATCATGGAACGTTTGACGCCTCAACAACGTGTTGTTGTAAAAATTTATTATCAATATCAATCGTCCGTTGTGCAAATACAAAGAGGATTACGAGATATTTTCGGCCGTAACCATGTTCCAAGTAAATCCACTATTCTTCGCGTAATTAAAAATTTTGAAACTCTTTTTACCGCGGCTGACAGACCAAAGAGTGATCGTCCTCCTAGTGCACGGTCAAACGAGAACATTGAATCTGTGAAGAATAGCGTTGCTGAAAATCCAGAGACCTCCGTAAGACGTCGTGCTCAAGAACTTGGAACAAATCGGCAAACAGTTTGGACAATAATGAAAAAAGATTTGCATTTCTGTCCCTATAAAGCTCAATTGACACAAGAGTTAAAAGAAAGTGACCACGAACAAAGAAGAGACTGGAGCACGAAGATGTTACAGTTGAATGTTGACGATCCTAATTTTTGGCAAAAGTTAAAATGGTAACATCGATTGGCCCCCTCGCTTCCCCGATTTAACGGCACCAGACTTTTTCCTGTGGGTGTACTTAAAGGAACAAGTCTGTGCAAACAAGCCGACCACAATTGAGTAGCTGAAGGACAACATTCGCCAAGAAATTCAAGAAATAACACAAGAAACATGTGAAAATGTTGTTGTATTCCGCGGCTCGCGATTCCTTGCGTTGGTTTATTATATTCAATAGGTACGCGGTAGGAGAGCCTGACGGAAACTGGGGCGAAATAAGGGAGCTATTCTGCGCGTAGTACTATTCAACTTTATTAGACACTTCGGTGACGTTCGGTGCGTGAAGACCACTAGACAAAAATCTGCTGTTTCGACGGAAAAGGTTTCTAGATATAGGTTCGGTAAGTACGAGAGTAGAGGTTGGTCTCAGAGGTGAATGTAGGGAGAGGCGGTGAGGTCTAGGTTCAGCGATGAGTAAAAGTAAAGGATGATGTGGAGGTCTAGGTTTCGGGGTGACTAACGTTAGGATGATGCGGATTTGTTTACAGTTAAGGAAAGGAGGCAGGATGACTAAAAACTAATGAAAGATAGGAGAGAGGTATACGACAATGTTATTGAAAGAGCACGCCTTTGTAAAGCAGCTAGAGGAAGTCATTTGGCGGATGTCATATTTCACACATAATTGGAAAGACTGAATAAACTATTGATAAAGAACATATACATTTATCTTATTTTATTTAAAACTTATTTAGAAACAAAATGGTAGCACATAGGAAACCAATTACCACCAGTACAACCAGCATTAAACGTGCCTTTTGGCGTTTTAATCCCTCACCTAAACGGGTATATCAGTGCGACGGTATAAAACTTGCACCGGTGAGCCCCGAAGAGTGTTGAATCCACGGAATCAACCACATCGACGTGCTCGCGCTCAGTCAGTCACAACACCTAATTAGAGAACACACTGACTTTAATAAAGATTAAGAATCGCGTCACAACATAGATCATACATCCCAGTAGAGTCCGCTAAACATTTGCAACTTTCAAAAGCTTCACTCGGTTCGTTCCAAGTTCGAAGTGATCCCTATCGTCCAGAAAGATAACCGTCGACGCCTGTGTCACGCGATACACGTCCTTTTCATGTAGACTAATCCCCCGAACGAAACAATACCAATGACAATCGAGCATCGTGCATAAACGCGTTCGTCGATTTCGATTTTACCGTTGGAATAAGTGAATTGTCACTTTCCTCGTGATTTGCAGGTAAACAGCAATTATCGCGTGTACAGTCGCGGAAGTTATCTGGCTCGGATGTGTGTTGCACGACTAACGATGCGGAATTCGATATTGCCACAGTTGATTCGTATCGAATTAAAAAGCGCCATATCGTCACGGCATATGTTTACTTTTTACTTCTTTTTTTTTTATATTCGTATACGCTCGATGAAATATAAATCCACGCTCGATGGTGTATATAGGTATATACACTACCGGCCAAAAGTTTGGAATCACTTGCCGATTTCTACCAAAATCGAATATACCGGTAGATTTTGGAATGACCCATCGTTAATATATCAGATGTTAACAAGTTGAATTATATTTTAAGAGATTTCAGCATTTTCTTATGTCCATAATACTATTATATAATTCATACACTCAGTTTAAGGCAACGCTCGGAATGAACTTTCCTACTGCCGGGGAATATACTCTGTTTTCGCCTTATATAGGAATTCGCGATTCTTTTGTTTACCAATAAGCGTCGAATGTTACAATATTAGATTCCAATTGGCTGGTCCGGGGGCCGAGAAAATGTGTAAATCGGACATTTGTTATACATTGCCACCATTCCCGTGAACGAAGGCGTTGAAACGTGATCAGCAGCTAAAATTTTACATTAATACTTTCAAATGGCAAAAAGAATAGAAAATAGTATTGAAACTCAAAGTGCAATTATCACACTTAGAAAGGAAGGTTATTCTTTGCGGAATATTGCAAGGAAATTGAAAGTGTCATACAAGGGCGTACAGTAAAACATTTTGCGGATACCGGTAGTTTGAAAGACAAACCACGGTCAGGAAGACCCAAAATCACGTCGAGAGTTGAAGATATAAGAATAAATATTATTTGCAAACGAAACAGACGACCAACGGCCTCGAAATTCGTGTAGGACTTAATGATAGTAGACCGAATCCAATATCTCTGAACACGGTGAAAAGGCGAATAAAAGCTGCAGGAAACCATTGCTTTCGTCGAAAAATCGTAAAATGCGGTTGGATTGGGCAAAAAGTCACAAAAATTGGACACCTACGGATTGGGGTAAGGTTCTTTGGACTGACGAATCCAAGTTCGAAATATTTGGGTCGCACCGAAGGATATTTGTTCGCCGATCTGTACAAGAAAAAATATTGCCAGAGTGTATTGTACCTACTGTCAAACATGGTGGTGGTTCAGTTATGGTCTGGGGATGTTTCTCAACGGTTAGAGTAGGAGACCTAATCAAAATAGAAAATACAATGAAAAAGAAGACTATAAACAGATACTCGAGCAGCACGCTCTACCATCAGGTCACCGGTTAATAAAATATTATTATGCAGCAAGATAACGACTCTAAGCATTCATTTAAATTGTGTAAAGGGTTCTTATTGCAAAAAGAAACAGCGGGTCTTGAGGAATATGACATGGCCAGCACAATCACCGGATTTGAACCCGATAGAATTTTTGTGGGAAGAGCTCGATCGGAATATCCGGTTGCACTGTCCAACATCGAAAGGACACCTTTGGCAACTACTACAAGAAGCATGGAAAAATTTAAAGTTAGAAATACTCGAAAAACTAATTGCCAGGATGCCCAGAATATGTCAGGCTGTCATTAGAAGGAAGGGCGGTTTTTTTGATGAGAAGGCAATGTAAAAAATAATATAAAATGTAAAATATTCTGCTTATAAGTATTTTGACAAATAAAACTTCCTCAATTACTTTGTAGGCGTTCAATTTTTCTTGGAAATATCCTGTTTCTCTTAATTTACGTAGTGATTCCAAACTTTTGGCCGGTAGTGTATATCTAAACAGAGGCGGGATTTTCGGGAACGCTGTTTCACCGTAAGAACCAAGAGGTTTCCTTGGTCGTGGGAATAAAAGGTCCTCTTGTTACGTGAGTGGAAAGTGTTCGAGCGTGAAATACCGAAGGATAGAGCCCCCTCTTCACGATGGCAACGCGACGCGTGACCAGAGACAAACTCCGGGGTGGTTCCCTATAAAGGAACGCAGGAAATGATGATAAGACGTGCGAAAAGGCGTGAGAAGAGAGGAGGGACAGGGAATAAAGGAGAGAATGTAGCGGGAAACTTGGATGAATATGCGTCGTCACGCGCCACAATCAGCTTCGGTTGTTGCCGAATCCTCGAACAGAGACACAACAGGGTGTTAGGTGAGGGTTCGGTGGTAAGATTTATTACAAAACTACTCGGTTGTTGCGCCTCGCACGCTCACGACTCGTTATCTGCTGAATATCACGGAGTTGGAAATTTCGCTTACGCTTGTGTTCGCGACGACGCTGGCTTTGTGGTTTTAAACACTGAAATTTAGTTCGAAATGGTATATTTACACTTTGTTTGAATGTCACAGTAAGGGGGTATTCAAGTTTCGACCACTAATTTTTCAGCCGATTTTGTCATTTCTTTTCTAGGAGACAAGAAATGTTAGAATATTGGTGCTTTGTGTGTACCTTTATTCATCTTTGTGTGTGTCAATGTTCACAACATTCGGAGTTATGTGCCGTGGCATGCGAACATCCTTGCTGATTTTTCCCTAGGCTGGCGGCTTTACTACTGGTCAGAAAAAATTGAACCGATCGTGTTTTCAATCCTCAAGAGTGTCACTATCGTCCCAACTACGACCATAAATTCAAAAAATTTGTCTACCGAATGGCAATGGGTTCAAATCAAAAATACGTTTCAGGTGCCACAGAAAGCGAAGTTTCGAGAAAACCGCGTTTAAAGATTTTCGCAAAATCCTTTCACAAAAATCTTCTCCATGCTAGAAGAAGTGCAAAAATACAAAAAATTTCGAGACTGAACGTGCGTATTATTTCTGGAAAATACTATTAATTGGGGCGAATTTCCAGCTAGAATTTCGCGTCGTTGCGAGAGAATTAAAAGTTCAGTTGAAATGAAATCTGTCAGAGGACTGCGTGGGATATAACTTTGACGCGAGTGCAGCGAAATTCCTTCGAAACACGGCGTAATCCATTTTGTTTATCGCGAGCCGGAGTTCGCGAAGTTTTGGCTAATCTTAATCGTACAGGCGCAAAGAACATGACAATGAAGAACCGTTCTAGAACGTACATTCTCGAGGGAGAGAGAGAGAGGGTCGAAACATCTCGTCGTACGGCCTTTTAACGACTATAAACAGCACTTGCTGTTCACAGCAAGTTTTCGACGAGTTGCAGGTAGTTAACACCGTAACGATCTTGAAGTGTTCAAGTGGCTTGTTGTTTCAAACTATACGATTAATTTCTTACACCTACATATTTCTTCACCTGCTAATTAACTTCGCCGGACGGTCGAAAGTATACCGAAATCGAAGGAGAGACACGATGTACAGCGCTGCAACGAGACAAGCTACTTGATCGAAAAACTCGGTGAAAAAGAGGGTAGAGAGTGGCGTGAGTCGAAAAAGGGTAATCGCGAAATGGTAGAAGAGTTGGAACGAAATAAAACGGAGGCTGTGTTTAAGAGCGAACTGAATCAATAGCTCTACCCTGCGACCCGTAGGCCAAATGTAGGTCATACCGTGATCCCTTTTTCCCTCTCTATCTCTTTTCCTCGCTTCTCTCTCTCTCTCTCTCTCTCTCTCCTTCTCATCGTTTCTCTGCCACGGTGTTCGTTTCCCAATGGAAGGTGTATGGTACATTATTGCATCGCCACCCCGGTATATACATTTTTCATAAATAAATTCCACGGATGATTCAAAGTCGACGACCCCGGTGCACACTATACCGGAGTGTATACGCTCGTGGAATT